ATATATATATATATATATATATATATATATATATATATATATATATATATATAAAGAGAGAGAAATATTTACCATGAAGGAGCTCAGATAGGGTTCTATGAGGGAGATAGTCATAGATGAGGAGCTTCTCCCCTCTCTCTCCTTGATAGAATGCTCTAAGAGGAACCAAGTTTTCATGGCGACTTCGGCCGAGCTCCCTTATCACAGACAAACACTCATCCCCCTCTCTGCATGTCCCCTCTCTCAAGAGCCTCAAAGCTATGGTTGCCCCCTCTGCTAACTTAGCCTTATACACAGTCCCATAACTACTCTTCTCCATCACTTGACCTGTTGCATTCAAGACCTCATCAAGGGTGAGGTGCTCTCCTCCTTGAAACACAATCAATCTCCCCTCGCCACTCTGTTCATCTTCTCCAATCTCCTCTGTTTCTTCATCTCTGCTCTTTCTCTTACGGCCCTGAACCAAACCGATCAAAACAGAAGCCAAAACCACCATTCCAGCCATTAAACCAATCACTATTCCAGCTATGGCACCTGAACTAAGCTTAGAACCACTTCTGCAACTTTTCAGTGGAGACCCGCATAAGCTCGGGTTGTTTCCCTCAAAGGCCTCGGATCCAAACCCAGTTCGAAAAGATGGTAAATTTCCTGTGAAATTGTTATGGGAAAGATTGAGCTTTTGCAAATCTAAACCACTTAAGCCTTCAGGTATTGGACCCGAGAAGAGATTGTTCGCGAGGTTAAGCTCTTGCAATCCATGGAAATCAAGTAAGAACTCAGGAAAAACCCCTTCAAAATGGTTGTTACCCATGTCCAGAGCTCTAAGATTTGGGCATGTCACATTGGGTAGAGCAGGTTCAGGAACTGAACCAGAAAGCTGGTTGCCATTGATTTGTAGAGAGAGAAGCTTGTCACAAAGGTTCCAAATAGAAGGAGGGAGATTACCGCTGAGGTTGTTTCCATTGAGAGAGATTTCAGAGAGAGAAGGTAAGCTGCCGAGCTCCAGAGGGATGGGACCAGAGAGAGAATTGACACCAAGAAAAAGAGATTGCAGAGAGGAAAGCTTCACCATTTCTGGAGAAATTTGGCCCACAAGACCAGAAGCAGGAAGCTCTAGAGAGAGAAGTTGGAGGTTGGGGTCACGGGCTAGAGAGAGATTCGTTTTGGAAGATGGGTTCTCACATGAGAGAGAAGAACCATCTTGGAAGCCCCATTTGAGGCCACGCCATTGACACAGGGGGGTGGAGAGGTTCCATGTGGAGAGAAGGGGGTGCTGGTTTTGACCTTGGAGAGCTGGCTTGATGCTCTGTAAAAGGAGAATGACATCGGAGTTTTGAGAGTTTGCAGTGTGCAGTAGTACTGAGAAGTAGAGATAGAAGAGGAGGGAGACAACGAGGTAAGGAGACAAAGGGAGTTGCAGTCGATGGGGAGAAGGAGCCATGAATGAAATGACACCCCACCTGCCCAAGCGAAAAATGGGAAAGATAGGTCAGAGAGAGAAAGGGGTGGAGAAATGGGAAAGTTGGGTTTGAGAGAGGGAGGAGAGAGAGGGGTGGGGAAATGGGAAAGATGGTGATGGGAGGTGAGCTTTTAGAGAGAGAGAGACGATGGTGTGGTTTTTAAAAGAGCAATTAGAAGTTGTTGGCAGGCGTTTGACTGTGAGTAGAGAGAGAAAGAGAGAGGAAAGAGGAGAGAGAGAATAGAGAAAGAGAGAGGAAAGATGAGAGAGAGAGAGTGCTTCGTGATGGGTTCCATTTGTGATTTGTTTATAGCAAGCAAAGTAGACTGGTGCACGCCCGCCATGGAAATCTGTAAATACTATTGAGTTGTGAAAAATGACTTATGTACCCTTTTCTTTATTTTTGCTATTTTCTTTTGAAACATAACATTTTCTTATTCAAATATAATACTCATCTATTTCCATGTACATGGCCTTCACGAGTGAGATCGGAGAGAACATTGTACTATTTGCACTTTATAATTATTAAAAGTTAGCACCTTTTCTTAAGAATGAAATTGCTAGTGCCACCATAAAATGGGTGGAAATAGGTAATTCCCCTGCAATTAGTTTTTGAAAAGGGCCTGGTTTTTATGAGTCCCCTAACTGTTTACTGTTTTCATGCGGGCTCCCTTGAATACCCATTTTTTGTATCGATCTTGGATCCAAATTTATAGTGATCCATGATCTACACTATGATGATCATGAATATAAAAAATGGAATATAATAAAATAAATTTTTAAAATATTTATGTTAGAATATTTTCCTGTCCATTGGATATGAATCTTTAGTTGTGAATCTTTATGTTAAAGATGGATGTTTGTGACTGTGGGGGCTGGTGAGTCCGCTGCCTCACAAAACACTTTCTCTTTTGAAAATGATATTTTTGGATGATGTGGTTGGCCGCCTTGTGAGGGCCCGGTCTCGTTGGAAGGATCTCATTTATTTGGTTGATTGAAGCATAGTTGATGGATTCATTTTTTTATTTATTTTTATTTAATTCTAACAAATGAGTATCAAAGGATCTAGGAAGAGGATTTGAGGAATAACGCTATAGTTTCTAGTGTGTCTTCTTTCAAATGTATTACACTTAGTTGTTAGAGATTTGTGTTTTAAAGTAATTGTAGTCATTTGGATGTTGTTTGAGATATATTATAAAAAAGAAAAAACCACAAAAAAAAACGTGATGACTACACTTTCTATGCAACTAATCTAATCTAATTAAAATAAAATTAAAGCAAAAAAGAAATAATCACGAATAAAAAACGATAAACAACCGGGCTAGATGGCCGAGGGCTCCCTAACCTTTGAGGGTTCGCCCGTATCAGAACCAGTGTCCTCTTTTGTCTCTCTTTTCAAGTCTTGACCAGGCCTTGGCTTGGTTAGATGGAGTGTCTAAAGCTAAGGTTTTTTTAGGTCTCGCAATCTCATTTTTTTTGGGTTCTCTCTCTAGATTTCTTAGCCTCTCAGTCCCACTTCTCTCTCTTCTAACCTACACGCCAAATCCCAAAGATTTTTTTCCCTTTCTTAGACACACTAGTCTTTTCTCTTAAAGACCTAATAGGGGTGTGGAATAGAAACTACGGGATTTGCTAAGTGTAGAATGGATAGCTCCTAAAACCATAAGATTTGCTAGGTGTGGAATGGATACCTACTAAAACCATGCGATTTGCTAGGTGTGGAATGAATACCTAATAAAACTATAGGATTTGCTAAGTGTGGATCATATGATATGGATTATGGTGGTCTATGGTTTAGGGGTGTACCGAAATAATGTGGTCCTATATGGGTTCAGGAAAACCATGGAATTTGTCAATTTTAAAATGGGGTATCTACAGTTGCCTCTATTTGACACTCCCAATCCTTCGTGGGATAGATGAATGACAAAAAAGTAGACACTCTTTGGTGCTCCTTGTCCTTCAAGGGGCAGGTGAGTGACATAGATAATGCACATATTTTAAATTTCATCCTGACATTTCGTGGTCAGAGGGCACACCAACTATCCCTCTAAGACATTGTGTTCCCCCCTCACCCACCTAGGGCATTTTCATTCTAGGGTTTTCGGCGTGAGATGTCGGTAAGTTACACAAGTTTGAAACTCGAGTTGGATTTTCTGGCTATGCCACTTAACTTCAGGGGTTTTCACAATTTCAAAATTTTAAACTTGCCATTTTCTTTGATTTCCTTAAGTTTTCTTAAGGTCGTTTATAGGTTTTCCTTGTTTTAGGAAAATGTTTGCCTGGTCAATTCTGAAGAGAGAGATGATGCGACAACACGGTAATCATCATATACGGGTGTCCAAGCTCCTTCGTTTTTTTTAAATCTTTTTAGAAATTTTGAAATAGGGAGAGATTTGAAATAGAACCCAGAACTTGGACAGGTTACGATTTTAACAAAGAAATTAAAGTTTTTGAAAACACGAGACATATAGCGAAAATTTTGAAATGAGAAAGATATTTTGAAAAATAAATTTTTAGTTAGATGCAGTTTAACATCATGCAGCGATGGACGGGGTAGTTGGCAGTTATATTCTTCCAACCATGGAGTGTTTTGTTTTGTTTTTTTTTTATGTGGGTCTTACAGTTTAATCACTTGTGACCCTTTTGGCGGACCCTATATGAGAGTGCCGACTTCTTGCTCGAATCTTCAAGACGAGGAATCATCAAGTAATTTTTTATCTTCCAACCCTAGCTCTTGTATTTCAATTCAAATGAGAGTTCTTTGGAGATTTCGAGCAAAACATAGTCTTGAAAATACATGATACTGCCCTTGGGTATTCAAAGTCTATTTGGATTTTCGATTTCGTTCATCCACCATTCACCTTTCAAAGTCCAGATGATCGAGGTCTTTAACAAAGTTCCATTAGACTAATGCTCATTGATTTTTCTTTTGATACCATTCTGACTCAAGAAGAAGGAAGAGAAGATGTTTAGAGAGAAAAGACTTTGGAGAATAGAAGGACATGAGATAACTTCTTTTTCATCGATCCCGGGGTCCCTTTTGGGCGATCAGCCTGGTAGCCTTTTTTCCAATACTTGGGGTTCCTTTCAGAATTTAAGCCCAACATATTTTTTATTTTTTATTTTTTTTAATCCCCCCGAGGTCCCTTTCGGGTGTTCAGGCCAACGGATATATATATATATATATATTTTGAAGAAGAAGAAGAAAATGATGACAAAGGAAGAGGAGGAGGAAGAAGAAGAAGAGGCAATGGTGTTTTTTTTTTTTTTTTGAATTTTGCTTTAAGACTATGTAAGATTTTGATCATCTTTCCCTTATCCAAGTGGCAGGGAGGTTCTAATATTAGTCATCCTCTGATTTCCCTTGCCTTAGGTTGATATCTGATATTTCTTGGACAATAGTTGTCGAGTTGCCCTTGGATTTATCCTTTGAATTGCCCCACTTAAACCTTGTTTTTGAGACTAAGAATCACTCTTAATTTCCTAATCCCTTAATCTTTTGTGTGGACTGACAAGCTCATTAGGTTTTTCCCCATTAATGGGAATATTTATGTTATGCATTAGGCGTTAATGCCTTTTGAAGTTTGAGGCATGAATGCCCCATTTGGTTATTTGCAAGGGGTGAGTGATCATCCAATTCCTTTACGATTGTCTCTTTCATTCCAAATATTGTGCTTCTTTTCAGGAGTTAATTCCGTATAGGCTCTTTCTCAATGCTCGAGCTTGGGAGAGACTCTCGCACAAGAAGAGTAACTGAGTTAACATTGAATGGCCTTATGGTATGTTGGGAGTTAACAAATAGGGGCGCAATCTCATTAATTGCCCCTGTTGTACCCTCTTCATGAGAGGAGATTGCCCCTATTAGATAGTTTGATGAGGTTGCCCTTGCAAGGCTTTCTGTTTTGTTAAGAACATGTTCTTTACGAGATGAACTTTCTTGATACGGAGGTGCCTCGGTTATCGGAGTTGTGCTCCTGCCCCGGTTAAGCTCTGAAAATCCCTCCTCTTTAGAGGATGACCCATTTCAGTCTTCAATATTTCATTCTTTGTCCCAGATAGACGAATCATCCACAAAGTCTTGTGAAGGTGGCCGGGGTGACCCCTTTATAATTTCTAAAGGTTTGAGCTATTTCGACTCTAGTGGAGGTGTCAAATATTTTGGAATAATCAAATTTGAGCAATTTGCTTCTCCATCATCTATAACTGGGTTCATCTCAAAGGTTGACTCGATTAAATCTTCTAAGCTTGGCTCCTCATCCCATATAGGTGGGTTGGAGAGGAAGTCTGGTGAATGTGGCATAGGTGGGCCTCTTAAGAGTTCTAAAAGATCTGCTTCCTTTGGTTTTTGAGGAAAAAAGTTTTCTTGAAGAATTTGCTCATTTGCTTCCTTAAGAGTGATCGTCCCAGAAGTAAGGCTTTTCTTGTCACCATGAGTTTGGGAATCCACAGCTTTCGAGTCTCGATTGAGCTTATGCTCTAGTTCATCTTGGATCCCTTGTGAGTCTAATTCACCATCCCACACGTATGGGTCATCTTCTATTGCATTTACTTGAGAGATGAGTTAAAAGGATCATTGAAGGGAGTGAATTCCCTTGGCATGGAAATCTACATTCTCCATGTGGAGAAGTACGTTCTAGTTTATTCTCGTCGCTGATTTGTAGAAGGGTCGTTGTCATGCCCCAAGATTTCTAACTCTCTCGAACTGCGACAGACTATTCTTATACTAGAAAAAATCAAATTCCTATTCATATATATTGTAACAAAATAGATTTTTCCATTAATTAAAATTTGTATAACGTTTGCTCACAACTGATATTAACATGAAGGCTAGGTATATACATCTCTTGATCGAACAAAAATTACAGTGGTGTATTAGAGCCCAAAGTTACAAAGGGAAATTTAATCATGACTACAATTTCTTCCAAAGCTGGTTCTGTTGCACTCGAACTATAAGATTGCAATTCCCTAAAAAATATTTACCATAGTTTGATGAATTTGGCTACTCAGTAAGTGATCATCATGGTCTTCAAAAATAATCATGGTTGGAAGATATAAATATTTAAAAAAAGGGACATCTGTTAAAAACAATACTAGTAAAAGCATTTATGGATAATAGTTTCTCTTTAAAAATTAATAATTTAACATAATCCAAATGATTGAAATGCATATAAACATTTTAACAGAAATGCATCATTCAAAGGATTTCACAAAATACCCTACTGGCGTCCCAAGTAGGTCACCTATATACCCCACTAGTGTCCTGGATGGGTCCAAATAATCCCCGCAGGTCCAATCATACCTCACCGGCATACCAGATGAGTCCAAATA